TGTGGAGTTCAGTTCTCAGAATTATCCAGACAGCATACTGAGAATTCTAGGAGTTAACGCTACACATCTGGAAATTCCCTCACTGAGAAATGCTGTCTTAAATCACCAAAAAAAGGTACAGCTGCTAGTTCTGCTGAGTTCAAAGGTTAAATTTCAACAATACCTGTTCATCACTTCTGTGATAATCATTATCTTCTTCCTGTTTCTCTTCTGATGTTTCTTTGTTTGTGCTCTCATCTGCTTTAGTTTCCCCTTATGACAAAAGCATAGAGCATCTGTTATGAACTGGAAGACTCCAAAGATACAAACATTTACATGAAACAAAATTACATCAAGATCAACAACTTTTTTCAGAATGAAGCCTGTTGGTCCTGCAGAAGTCAAATCTCTTCAAATCTCAAATTTCTGTAGTACTGGCATTGTATTTTGACAAGTTGTGCTGCAATAGCACTTAGCAAATTCTATCCTAAAATATATTTTTATATTTTATAAAATATAAAATATTTTATATATTTTATATTTCACTCTGAGAGCGGGCAACTAAATTTCATTTTTGATGTGTACCGTTGTGCCCACAGTAAAAAAATGACAATAAAGGTTATCTTATCTTATCTATTTGCAATCTATTTTAGCATTGAGAAATCTACTGTCAGTTAGTCAGTCAGTCTGTCTGCCTGTCTGTCTATCTATTCAATTTATATAGCTGACTATCTCACATATATAACTTTGTGCTGCTCAACGTTAAAACACAAAAAAACCAACACAACTGTTTAAAGTCTGACCCTGTCATTCAATTGTAGCTGAAGAAGCTCAATCAATTTATAACAAAGTAAAAATAAAGAATTCTACAGCCAGCAAGCCATCTGTACTACACACCTTCCTAAAATAATGCTTGTAGAGACAAAATGACCACATAGTATTTGAGACAAAGTGGCCCTCTGCATTTATTTTATTTTATTTTATTTTTATATCTCATATCCAACGAATCTGGGTGCCTTATCCTTGTAGAGTGGCAAAATCTTCCGTAGCGATGCGATGCTCTGTGATGAATACAATTCTGTCACTGGTGCAGCAATAAACAGTCTCCCAGCGCAGCCAAGTCTAGCATTTACTATTGTATCTGCCACAGAATTAGCAGCATGATCTTTCCTAGGAACTGCCCTCAAAAGAAGCTGCTGCCATAAGACTTACCTAACCGCCTTAGCACATAAAAAGGCAAACATTTTTGGGATGTTATTAAATGCAGCAAGCTCACGGGAGTTATTTGATCATCAGGTTTCTTACTTTGGAACTGTTTAATTGACAATAACAACCAGTTTGCAGAGGACTGTGAAGACTTTAAAGTAGGATTAATGTCCTAGATCAGCAGAGGGCAACCTATTGGCCAGAAGTCTCAACATTTCTAGCCCTTTCCTAAATCCCAAAGTAAATGGGATGGAAAATTTAAGACCTTCTTTATTTTGTTATTATTTTTTTCTTTACTTTTATTATTTATTTTAGCAATTTAAGAAGCATTTTACTCCTTTAACCGTGCACAAAGCTACAAAAAAAAATATCAGTGCGGCCCTATCTACATCAGTGATTTCTTAATGAAACTACTTTGTCCCACAGTGACACACGCAGAACTTTGCAGACTATCAAATCTTGCAAGAGCCTTTCTTCCTGCATGAGATTTTGGATCTTAATGTTTACATTTACACAATTGTTTATCTATTTCTTAGTGCCCATAACTATGTGTGAAATCGTGAAATGGTTTCTGGCAATGAAAAATGGTTGCTAAACCCTGTCCTACAACAGAAGTTCTCAACTTTTTCGTTCTAGTGGGAGTAAATGGAATTTTGCTTTGGTCAAACTGATACAGGATAGCCACCATTTATGGGTACCCATAAGTCTAAACAGAGAGGCTATATATGCGCAAATAATGGGGCCAGTTCAACAATTCTGGGACTAAATGGGCCATTCCAAATCTTGGAGAGAAATCCAGCTGTGAAGATCTTGTTGCAAACACATCGATCAGAAAATTAGTGAATTTTCAGCTTTCCAGTCAAGTACTCACAGCAAAGCACTAATTTATTCAAGAAATTGACAGTTTATATTTCTTTAGCAAGGTTGTGATAAATGTACTATATGAAACTAATCTAGTTAAACAAAGAGCAAACAATTTCCTTTGGCAAACACAGTAATTATCCTGAAAAGAACAAGCACATGCATTTCTATTTACCATTACGGTGAGAATCTAAATGCTGCTTGGCTGAGCACGTCTCCCCTTTGATGTCACCTGGTACTTCCATGCCCAATTTGTGGTAGAATTCCCTCTGCTTCTTCATTTCCGCTGTTTAACATTTTAAAATAGTGTCTTTAGCTAAAAACATGGACTTCATCAACTCAAGCAAACAATGTATTCCTCTCCCTTGTTTAGAACATGTAACAAGAGCCCCCTCTAACGTTCAAATGCTTTTTTTGTGGCCAGCTCATAACACAACTGGACAAATCTCAGGATTTTAAGAACATCCCATACAATGCAATACTACTTTTCAAGTGTTACCCAATACTGTTCTCTCACTTGTCTACTTGTACAATAACATTTGGCAAAAATTAGAATCCAGAGAACAAGCTAATTTTTGTTTTATAACATTGACTTATGCATTCATCTTTTTGAATTTTCCCCTCCTATTTACATACATCAGAAAAGTGTATTCTCCAACCACAGAGAGTCTAACAACTGGAAGTTAACTTCTTACATTAGTCTTCTCTCAAAGTAACATTGGATTTATCAACAATATGATCCCAACTGTTATTTTATAATATAATTTTCAGTTAAAAAAAACCTAATTATGGTATTTATAGTCCATCTATCATAGATACAAAATATAATAAGTAAATGTAAAATTGGACACCGTAATTGCTTCTATACTATCAAATTACCTCTGTATTCATTTTGTGTTTATAAGCATGAAGAACTTTGGGAGATGCCAATATTCCTTCAGATTTAGAAAATGCCCTGGGAAGTGCCAGGAATGTTAAAATTTTAAAACCTGTTTCTGGCAATTGCTTCTACTATTTTTTTAGAAAAGGATCTTTTTGAGTCATATGACTAAAATCTTATTTGAATTATATGACTCAAAAAGGACCTTTTTGAGTTACACGGCTAAAGTGGGGATACAACCATTTACTGAAGATACTTTAACTTTTTACTGATTAATGTTGAGCATAGCTGCCTCTTTATTCCTCTTCATATCTTGTAAACCATGATATGATGGTTTACCTTGAGCCTTGAAAACCCATCTATTCCATGCGGCCGGCCTGGCGTAGTTTTGATTGGGCTTTGCTAGGGGTTTTATATGGGGTATTTTAGAGCAGGCTTTTTATTCAATATTTATTGTGATTTTTATTATTGCCTGTTCACCGCCCTGAGTCCCGTAAGGGAGATAGGGCAGTATATAAATTTATTGGGAACGGAAGTCTATACATATCTGGTGGATATCCAGGTTGGAAAAGGCTTCTGTGATTATTATTTTTTTTCAATCTTGAGGATTCTGCCATCACATTTAAAAAATAAAACTTTTGCTGTGGGCTCCCATGTAATGTGTGGCCGTCCTTGCTTTGCCAAAGCAAGCAAGGAAAAGCAAAGCAACAGTAAATGGCACCACTTCCTGCAACCTTTTGACAGTTTGAACCGTGTCTCCCAAGCATCATATGGAGGGGATTTATTCACATATATGAATGTCTTTTGAACAGTTTACTGTTGACTTACCTTCTTGAAGACCTGGAACAAGCTTGTAAACAATATCTTGCATTGTTCTGTCATGACTGACAAGACAAAAAATTAGAAATTAAAATGGCTACTGCAAATACCTATAAGAAACCTTTATATATTTACACCACTAGGATAGCTGAAAAATATCCTCTTCCTTTGGGCACAAATGAAAGGGAAACTAAAGAAAGAAAGAAAGAAAAAGGGAGGGGGGAGTTCCTATACCATTTTCATTCTGCTGAAACACAATGGACAAAATCCACTCATGGCCACAGCACACCCTTTTCCCAATTCATGGTTTAGAAAAGGTACATCCAACAGATTTCTGCGTGTATTTTTTTTTTTTTTTAACCCCATACGTACCCAATATACTGGAGAGGGTGACTCTGGTGTATTACTATCCTGCATGTGGGACAGGTATTATTTTCTTCCAAATATTTTACCAAGCAACTCCTGCAAACTGTTTTACAAAAAAATATATGTATCAGTTAAAATGATTGCAAGAAAATATTTTTGTTTATCTGCGAATAACATTTTAAACTCCGGACGTAATTCAACTTGTATAACTTCAGGAAGCAAACTTAAACAATGTCACTATTTCATAGTTGTGAATGCAGAAAAAGCAGTTGCATTCACAGCCCAGTTTTAACGAACACAGAACCTGCTTAAAAAAAAAAGTGCTTGTAGTCTAATGAACATTTTATAGGGAGTATTTTTCCTTCCTGAATAAATTTAGTGTACCCCAAATTTGCATCTGAAAAATGCCAATATAAAGGTTTCGGATATAAAATCTATGTCTTTGTTCTTGTTATTGGAGATATGTAAAATTGTAATCAATTTAAACATTGCTGGGTCATTTCAACACAAAATAAATAGTTACTGTACTCTGAAGCAGACTTTTTGTTAAGAAAAAGGAGTATTATTTAGTATTTATAGTAAAAGATCTTTAGTCTTACTTAAAAATAAACCCTGAAATATATGCAACAGCATGGCATAATTGGTTGTTGACTGTCGGTATACTTGCCACCAAGCTTATTCTGAAGCTAGAGATGGCTGTTGCAAAGTGAAACTTCCTCAGTAATAATTCAATTAACATTTCGCTGTAACCTCTTGAAAAGCAACAATACCAAAGACTAAAAGCTGCAGTTAAACAGTGCCATCTACTTTTCATATATGAAGATACACACAGTAGGATATAAATGAGCAAACTTGTGATAGTGTTTACAGAACAGAGAAAAAAACATTCCCTTTAGAGGAAAACTTGGAAAAAAAGTGGGTAAATCTATACACTTATATACTAGCCTTCCAGAAGACCTTGAAGATCTGGTTTTGTGCCTAAGCCTGCAGCCACAGCCACGTGAGGTAGCCTATTCCTATTCCTACTTCCTAGTCCTACTCCTTTGAAGCCTCCCTGAAAAATGTGTGCTGTTAACACATTTGGTCATCCCCTGAACAATAGCTTATAGCTGGCCAATCCTTTCAATCCAGAAGCATCCAAAGCGTAGTGAGGTGCTCATATGTATGTATGTATGTATGTATGTATGTATGTATGTATGTATGTATGAATGTATGTATTACCAATAAAGGAGAATATCTGTAGCTCAGGATTGAAATGAGAAGTCATTGGTGCTCTCTGAGCTTGCTTTTTTTCTTGCAGACGTTTCATTATCCAAACTAGGTAACATCATCAGTGCTAGTGTTAGCACTGATGATGTTACCTAGTTTGGGTAATGAAATGTTAGCAAGAAAAAAAGCAAACTCAGAGAGTATTGTATGTATGTATGTATGTATGTATATATGTATGTATGTTGTATATCACCCGGAATCATGTATGTGAGATGAGGCCATCAATCAAACAAATATATAAAGCATTATTATCATTATTATATGTGGGTAATCTACATTTAGTTTAGTTTAGTCTAAGATCGGGAGAAAATTAAGAATTCAAATCCTAACCAAGGACCTAAGAATTATTAAGATAGCATCTAAGAATGTAGGCAGTTCCAAGCAGAGGTTTTTTTTTGTTAAATTATGGTGTTCAAGTTCGATAAATTCAATATTTTCAGATATCAAGGAAGTTGTCTAGGTATTGCTTTGAGAGCTCCAATCACAATTGATATAAGAAATGATTTCTTTTTCCATAAACATTCAACTTAAATCTGCAAGTCTCGGTAATTTGTAATTTTTTTCCAGTTGTTTTTCCTCAGTCCTAGCATTACCTGGTATCAATGAACCAGACTGTCTTCTATTCAATAACTATCATATAAGGCATGTTATGAACAAAATACCTGTCTGTTTGGATCTTAGCATCCCATAAGATCTTAACCTGCTCATTTTCCTAACTGGATGATTCCAGTAGTTTTTACTACATTCAAATCCAAACCTCTGGTAAAATTTCCAATGAATAATCTTGGCAACTTGATCATGAACCTGCTTGTAAACAGTTTGTGACATTTTGCTACTGATACTGATCAAATGGTCAATTGTTTCATCCTTTTCACTAGAAAGGCAACATTTGCTGTTGTCTGTTACATGTTGAATTTTCACCTTCTTCTGACCCACAGGCCCTATTTACAGTCACATACGCCCTAGTCACCTTCCACCTTGACTGCTGCAATGAGTTCTAGATAGGGCTGCCCTTGAAAAGTAACCAGAAGCTTCAACTGGTTCAAAATGTAGTGACCCACATTATTTATTCTAGATTTGCACACGTGTCATCTCTCCTGCAGGAGCTAGATTGGCTGATGATTTACTTCCAGGTCCAATTCAAGAGGCTGATTATCACCTTTACAGCCCTACAGGGGGGCAGGTTATTTGAAAGACCATCTTTTCCCAGTTACATCTACCCAACCCACCAGAGAGGGGAGGCAGGGTATGTTATGGCTCCCCTCTCCTCAGAAGGCCCATCTAGGAGGCTCTTCTCCATTGCAGTTTCTTATCCTGTGGAATATCATCCCTGCAGAATAAGATTGTCTCCCACCTTAACACTCCTTCAAAAGGCCCTGAAGACATGGGTTTGCCAGCACGCATGGGGAACCCCAGGGTGATATGGAGCCCATTAAGTGGTTGAGTTGATAATTGTTGCCGGGGAGAGGGGAGGGATTTATTGTTTTTTTTTTAATTGGGATTTTATTTCTGTATGTCATCTGGAGTCATCATGAACGAGTTAGGCTGCCGTATAAATTTTCTAAATAATTAGTTGTGCACTCGAGGAGGCAGAAGAGAAGCCACTGGAAGAAACTTTTTGGTTTTGGAAGCACTGAATAATGGCAATAAAGTCTATGAAGATGAGATTCATTTTATTTGATCCATTCTTTCGGTTTACAGAAAAGGAGGGTCTTTAATATGCCACCATTTTCATAAAAACCCCAGTACGAAAAATAAAAACTAGAAAAAGCAAAGAAAGGTTAGAACTTAGGAATAGTAGGTGATTAAATGCAGTGCAGCCACCTGAGCTAAAGAAGTTTACTGTAAGCCTCTCAGCTTTTTGACCATAATTACAGATTACATAATTCTCATTAGCTACCCTGCGACCTGTCAAGACACCCCAGCACCCCAAATTAGATCTGTCATCTTGTTAAACAAAGCCATAATTGGGTCTACCAATCTGGCAAATATTGTTTTAACTAAATCAATTTATTTGTTATTTCTAATCTCCTTTCAGCAAAATTCTCTTCATTGTATTAGCTACAGATCTGCACATTCAGTTCAAAGGGGAGAAAGGAAAAACATGATGCCTTCTCAGCAGCAGTTAGAAACGTAATATGATCTGCAATATCATATTGCATCACAACTTTTACCTCACACTCTTTAGTAAAAGCTCCCTTTTCAGCATTCCTAGGTATGTACCCAAAAGATTCATTACCTACTGTTTTAAGTAAAAAAAAGTTCAGAACATTAAGTAAAAAAAGTTCAGAAAATATATGATGCCCCATATTTACATCCTCTCCTAGATGAATAAGTAAGAGGTCTTAACAGTTCAGAGCAGAGAATTTTTACTGTTATGTTCTTATCTCTAGAAAGATAATAAGGTGCCTAAGTTTCTTCTGCAAGAGCAGAACTATTCGTCCCCATTCCTTACATAATCAGCTTTCATTCACTTGCCTCTCAGGGAATTATACAACATCCCAATATTATGGGATTAATTTAGAGAAGACCTTTTCAGGTATTGATAGAACTGCACAATTGGCTCACATTGGTTGCCGCATAATATGGTAGAATACAACCTTTTCAACCTGGTTGGTTCACTAAATGTATAGTAGGGTGAAGCAGAACAGGGCTGAGAGTGGACACTTTTTAGGCAAAGCAAGGGTGGGAATTTTTAAAATAATGAAGATTTCATACAGAAGTAGGCAGGCTGTTACTCCATGAAAAAGCACAAACAATTTACTTGAGAGGGGAAGCTATTCGGAAGGAAGGAAGGAAGGAAGGAAGGAAGGAAGGAAGGAAGGAAGGAAGGAAGGAAGGAAGGAAGGAAGGAAGGAAGGAAGGAAGGAAGGAAATCTAATCCTGTCAACTAGTGTAATTCAGAGCTCTCTGAATTTCTTAGTAATGGCACAGGAATGCAATTTAAAAAAAAGATTCACATCTGAATAAACAATTTGAAATTAAGAGGTAACTTAACAAACATTAGCCATTCAAATAAAAATCAAAGCTAAATAATTATGTTTACATCGAAGTAAATCTAAATTCACAATACACAGTAATTATCATACTCACAGGTATGCAAGCATTCCGTTACAGTGGTAGCATCAATAAGATAACCATTGCAAAGGCGGCAAGTTATATGGGCATTGATGTCCCAAAGTTTAATTTTTCTTGTCAGCATCTTTGGTGTCTGTAAGAAAATGAGGCAGGTATTTGAGATATGTCTATTGCTTTTAAAATATCTGACCCTCATAATAAGCCTTGAATGCAGGGGGGAAAAATGAAAACAATCTAACAGCTTTCTTCTCCAAACAACCTTATTTGGAAAAAAAAAATAAGCCTGGTTTAAGAATAATGCATAATCATAAAGCTAAAGACTGCAGAAACTGTTGTTCTGGGCTTTGCATTGCAAGATTTATGGCATTCCATAGTATAAACTTTAATCAGCCTACTTTTCAGGAACAGTAAGTAAGGGGAATATATCTGTTTTATCTGTAATCTATATTCCGGAAAATGCTTAGCTCTTTAAAAAATCTATAGTTTTCTAAAACATATTAGTAATTGTAAGAAAAAGCAAACTCTAGCCAACATATCTTTTCAGATGATTAATTTTTAGAAGAATATACATATAAGATAAATGTACAGCATTTTAGGAAAATAAAGTAGTGTTGCCTGCTTAAATATGTTTAGGAGTCCCCTACCCACTTTTAAACTATAGATAAATATGCATCATAAAGTAGTTTTCATAAATTGGAAAACAAGTGCAGAATAAGCACTGAATTATATTTGAACGTTATAAAGCATAGCTCCTTCGCTTTTAGAAAATATTTCAATAGAACTTGGTTTCTGAAAAAGAAATTACTATATGTAGCATATAAAATTTTAAGGAAAGCCATGGAAAAACTTTTGTATTTGGTTTTTTCAGTTTTCCCACATTATTTGGGAAAGTCTTCACCTGATAGACAATTAAAAAATAAATAACAGATGGCTGCACACTAACTACAGAACTTTTTGCGTCTTTAGTTTTAAGTGCACTGTTCCGTATGATTTTAACTATCTCCTTTCCGACTTGCGATTTCCCTGTTGTTTTAAAATCTATAAATAGCTTTAAAATTTGAAGTTGCTAGTTACCCTGGGACCCCTTCTGGATGAAAAGGTAATTTAGAAATTCCTATATAAATGTTTTTGAAAAACCTTCACATCGATCAGATATAACATAAAAACATCTGCTTTTATTTTCTCACTGGGAAAAAACCGCACCAGAGGAAACGAAATAGAGTACTAAATAATAAAGACAGGAGGGAAGTATTTTTACCATCTGCTGCAATGAATTTATGCACGGCAGGTGTCACCAAACTAAGATGCTTTCAATAAAAATTGCTGAGACATTTTGGCTGAAAAGTTATCAATTGTTGTAATTTAGCCTTATAATTTGATTGAAATTAAGACAGTCAATATGTTTATGACCTTATTTTTTATATTATATGTAGCCGGCTCAATTAGCAGATTTTTTTTCCCCTTCTTTTATTTTATAAGTTACTACAAAGACTTGCGGCTGTTCTCCCCATCCTTATCTTTCTAATTGACTGGCTGGTTGGAGCCTCACCCCAAGAATTGGGACAGGGAGGGATCCTGGAGGAGATTTTTGGGAAATTTAGTCCCCAACAAAGGGAGTTAAATCAGAATGCTGGAGAGGGAGGGGGCCACAGATTCCAGCAGCTCAGAGAGAGAAAGGGAGGGGCAGCATCACAAAAGGCAATTGGAAAAAAAAAAGTTTTAAAAGGACCAAGGGATCAAAAAGAGGAATACTACTACGGGGAAGGAGGCTGGACTCCTTTGGAATGAGAGAGAAATTGTCACCCCAAGGAAGAGCGACTGCTATATCTCAGCCTGGAGAGTGTATCCTAGCTGCCATGAGAGGGGTGACAATCTTATCCCAAGGTAGGATTCTAGATAAGTTGCATCCTTGGTTTGGTGGAACTCCTAGGCCAGGGGTAGGCAACCTTGACTCTTTTATGACTCGTGGACTTCAACTCCCAGAATTCCTGGCTCAAGAATTCTGGGAGTTGAAGTCCACGAGTCATAAAAGAGCCAAGGTTGCCTACCCCTGGCCTAGGCCATTGCCCCTGGCTGGAGGGGTGGACTCCATAGGCCTCTCACTGGACTACACAGGCAACAGAATTGGTGAGGAGCCATTTGGCCAGTCTTTGGGACCTATTTGGGTGTTTTAACTGAACTGAGGCTTGGACCATTATGCTGGCCGTTACTGAGCCACACGAGAGGCGCTGAGACATTTTTAGTTTGAGCAACGTTGCTCACCGTAAGGTTTAACATTTTAAACTATTGTGCTGTTTAATCTGATTTTATCTTAAGGGCCACCATTTTAATGTGTTTGTTGTGTCATTGTTGTGTATCTACTGCACTGATGCTTGTTATTATTATCTGTAGTTGTTGCTTAATTTGATTTTATTTTAAGGGCTACTATTTTAACAGGCTTGTTGTGTTAACATTGATGTGTATTGCCCTGGTGCTTATTGTTACCTGTAATTGCCGTTTAATTTGATTATTTTAATTAAAGCCCATAACTCTCTTCCACGTGGGCTGGTGTGCTTGGGCCAGGTGGGCTGGTCACGTGGGGAAAGGGATAGAAGGGCCCGATTGTTAGCACCCCCTTTGGGGGAAATGCTACATATATTTACATCATCCCTTCTTTTTTATCAAATGCATATTTAAAGATTTAGCTAACAGAATCAAGAACCAAGTTTGAGTAGAAAAATGCAAAATTTTCAAGTGCTTTCCTTTCCTTTTTCATTCCCCCTTCTTCTTCTTCCCTTCTTCAAAATGCTAATTTATTTTAAATAAAAATGTGCACTCATCAAGCAAAGACATTTTTATGTTAAAATTCTCAAGGAATTCTGCATAAATCGGGGCCCAAATCATAGGATTTTTAATATATCTGATAGAATATAAATATAATAGCTAACAAAAAAGTGTCTTCTATTTCTATCTTCTTTTCTCCAGGATCAGCCAAATGTTTATACTGTATAACAAGATTTAATCATTATCATTCCCTCAGCAGCTAATGTTACAGATTAATTACCCATTGTGTAAGGAAGTAAACAAAATGCAAAGTACAATGAAAAATATTTTCAAAAATCCACAATAAGTAAACAGTGTACCATAGATATGGGATATCCAAAGCCCAGAGATAAAAACGGAACAAGTTAACCTAATCCTCAAGGAATATAACTTAATCCCAGCTAATCTATGAAAACAGAAAATTCAGTTGTTTTAGGAGAAGCAAGGCATGAGTTAAATTTGGACTAGAAACCGTAATGGAATCAATCTGCAACCAGGACTATAGTATTTAATAATTCAACTGTCAGAGAATTTATAATTTCCAATCTCCACGCTAGTCTGTTGCTGAATTGTTTGGTATCTTAAAAACTAAACCCTCTCCAATACTGTTTCTTTGAAAAATGGTGTCTTCTGTTGAGCAGGTGGGAAGTGATTCTTAATGAAAAATGGCACCAAGAAAATACTGCATTTGAAAGTTCATTATATCTGAAACTGTAAACAAGCATGCATGTGTATGGACTTATATTTTATATGAAGTTATTAATGGTACTGACACAGGTGCACAAAGAAGACTATGTTGGCTCATACCAAAGAGCTATTGAAACAGCATTCTGTCAATCAAATGCCAACAGGAAACAGAGCAGCAGAACGTGATCACAACACCATGCATGTTCCCATGACTTCAATTGAGAGACCTACTGTCTTGCTATTATAGGTGATATATACCCATTTCAAATAGCAGTCACACCCTATCCTGATCAAACTGTAGATACAGGATTCAAGACCATGCATGAAAGGGGGGGGAGAAGAAAACTGAACTTTAGCTCTCCCACAGTTGTACCTGGTTTGGTCCTGAGATACTCTTTCTTCCTTACAATGGGAAGTTTTTAGTTATTTTTCAGCTTGTTTATCGGGAATTGTTGTTGTTATTGTTCCAAAAACAAGATAGTATAAAATTGCACTGCTCACTTTCAGAGAAAGTTAGCCGTCAGTCAACACAACCATTTTCTTTATTTCCTTAGTTTTGCCTTTTACACAATATATATATTTAAAACCTTGCATTTGGCCTAATTTCTCAACTGAGCCAAACAAGCTATTTAAAAAACAACATACACCTACAACATTTTATTGATTTGCATATTTCTGGATAAAATTCTAGTAACTTCCCTCTTTTATTTCTAAATCATGGGGAAGACTCTACTGCAGGGGTCCCCAACCTATGGTCCGCGGCCCGGGATCAGGCCATGGGCTCTTGGCCAGTAGGCCATGGAAATTGCTGGCCAATGCACACATGCATGGATGCACATTTCCCCCCCACTTGCGCTAGCGCCCACGGTGCTGTTTGCGCATGTGCATGGGTGCAAACGGGAATGCTAGCGTGGGACGGGTATCTGCAGCTTGTTTGCGCATGCGCCGCTAGCCCGGGCAATTTTGAAGCTGTTCTCCTTCCCAGAAAGGTTGGAGACCTCTGCTCTGCTGTACTTTTCCATTTTTCACCAATCGTGTAAAGATTGAAATTTTACATGATGCTCGTATGAAAATGAGACAGCAGCAATTATTTTACAAATCTGTGGCTTGCACATTTGTGTAAATGCTGTTATCAAAGTACTATTTTTAAAAGATGAGTGACCAATCCTAAGCTGATAGATCATGTGTTGGTTCACTAATTCCCAAATTATAGCCACAGGAAAGAACATACATTTATTTTGAAAGGTTCTGCAAGCTGAATGCCCACCCACAGAGTTGGTTGTATACCCCACTGCTTTATGAGTCACTCTGTACAACTGGTAGCTTGATGAACTTCCTTTTCAGTTTCTGCAGAAGGCTCCTTTCAGAGGTCTGTCTGCATTCAGCTGAAGGCAGCTGAACTTTTCACTTGATCTGGATGGGGAAATGAAGCAATTTCCCCATGGACTTGTTAAGTATTTCAATTTCCCCCTAGATTTATCAAGTATTTCTTGTTAATGATTACATTATTTTGAATATTGTTCCTCCGATTACTAATGTAACTGCTAAAAAGCTTGCTTGCTAAACTTTGTGCGACGTGTCAAATCATTAGCATAAAAGAGCATTTTGCCACTAACAGGAATTCCCTAATTCCTATTAGCAGGATAAGTGATATGGGAAAATTCAAATATTCTTCTGTGAGTTACGTTTAAATAGGTTTTAGGAGTTCGACTGAAACACTTTCACACATCAAATATTATGATTAAAACAGTGAAATTATTTCTTTTTAGTTTCAACATAGCGATCATGCTGTAGCACTTGAAGCCAATATAAAATCAGCTTATACCTGGCCTGGAAAGAATGGGATGTTCACGTTAGAAATATTATAGCTGTATTTGGTGAAACTGCAGCAATGTTTCATATATATACATACATACACATATACATATCAAAAATAAACATTCCCCAAAGAGAAACACTCTTTAAGTTCTAACTAGATTTCAAAAAGTTTTTGAGCTTTTTTCAGAATACCTGGTATTTTTTTTAAAAAAAAATCAGAACATCTTTGAGATACTTTTACATTTATTTAAAGCAGGTTGTAGAATTCAATCAGGAAAAAAAATCTCTTTACATACTGAAGAAAAATATTATTTTCTCTAAGCATACCTCTTAAAACAGCATTTCGTTTCAGAGTCTGCCATCCAGAGACCTGAAAAGATTAAAAAAACAAGTCTGAAAATGAACACTGTAGCTACTTAGAATACATTGAAAAAATTCAACGGTATCTATTAATAGAAAATTATTAGATGAACAAATATTTGTTTTTAACATGAAAATGATTAATTTCTGCTAGAAATCAGTGTCTATAATCCAGTCTGAATTAAATATGCTAAGTAAAACTGATGCCATTCTTCCTACCACCACAGGGTGACAGAAATGAGAAGACTAATGTTTTTCTATTAAACTTTTGTCAGCTTAAAATTAAGTAGACTTTGGCCTAACTTTGATATCACAAGCTAGTTACTTTGTTATGTAACGTAGAGCATTCAGCAAAACAACTCCCAAGATCTATATGATGCTAGTTCATCCCAATATTTAAAGGTCTAAATATATTTCTTGTATCAAGTTAAATAATTTATATATCCTGCCAAAATGTATTGGCACATTTATATTCCCATTTGTTTTCCCAAGGAAAAAAACACATACAAAACAATCTTAAAACCCAAAATAAGCAAACAACAGCATAGCACTTGACCGCAATTGCTTAAAATGGTTTAAAAGAGGTACTCAAGGGCTAATAAAACTATTAACTAATAATGAGAGTCAGTAATAAATGGGAGGCCCCTAGAAAGGGCTGTTCACTTCTTTCCTGTGTGCGACGGCTGTTTCTGAACAAGTTTAGGGACTAGCTTTAACTTACAACTCCAGTTTGTCAATCTGTTTTGAAAGGCAAAGGGTTGTTTTTTTTCAAACATTGTGTACATTTTCCCTCTTCTCTAGCTCCTGTGCACATAAGTAGCCTTTTGACCAAAATTTCACAAACAAGATCCAAGACCAAGGATGTAAGAAGTATCTTGAGAGGACTTTTCAATGTTTCCTTAATTCTCTGAAAATAAAGCCCTAATCTTCAGAATGAACTTCAACTAAGCACAATTGGTCCCAAATTACACTGAAATACCCGTCAGAATTATCCTTTTTAAATGAAAGAGATTATATGTCTTCAAGGTTTACAAGATTTATTTATTTATTTATTTATTTATTATTTTGATTTATATCCCGCCCTTCTCCCGACGGGACTCACAGAAGATCTTCCTGTTCTGCCTTTCAGCAAAGTCACTGGATATAATATAATAATAATAAAGTTGGAAGGGACCTTGGAAGTCATCTAGTCCAACCTCCTGCTCAACCCTATACCATTTCAGACAAATGGCTGTCCAGTCTCTTCTTAAAAACTTCCAGTGTTGGAGCATTCACAGCTTCTGGAGGCAGGTTGTTCCACTGATTAATTGTTCTAACTGTCAGGAAATGTCTCCTTAGTTCTAAGTTGCTTCTCTCTGGTTAGTTTCCATCCATTGCTTCTTGTCTTGCCTTCAGATGCTTTGGAGAATAGCTTGACTCCCTCTTCTCTGTGGCAACCCCTGAGATATTGGAACACTGCTATCATGTCACCCCTCGTCCTTCTCTTCGTTAAACTAGACATACCCAATTCCAGCAACCGTTCTTTATATGTTTTAGCCTCCAGTCCCCTAATCATCTTTGTTGCTCTTCTCTGTACTCTTTCTAGAGTCTCAACATCTTTTTTACATCCTGGTGACCAAAACTGGATGCAGTATTCCAAGTGTGGCCTTACCAAGGCATTGTAGAGTGGTATTAATACTTCGCGTGATCTTGACTCTATCCCTCTGTTAATGCAGCCTAGCACTGTGTTGGCCTTTTTGGCAGCTGCAGCACACTGCTGGCTCATATTTAAGTGATTGTCCACTATAATCTTACTTACATATACAGGACTTACATATACAGGATATATACAAAAAGGACACAACACGATTAATATTTTTAGTTGGATATCTATTTATCCAACAAAAAGGTACCATTCATGGACTTACATTTTACACTATGTAAATATATACACCTAAAAATATGGGACCAATAATTTTCAAATATCCTCTATCATAAAACAATAATAGAGCTAGGACTGGCTATGGCCCCCTGCTGAAATTATCAAGGTTTAAGGTACTTTACTGTGAAGAAATTGACTGCTGCAGTTCCTTATACAGGTAGTCCTCGACGTACAACCACAATTGAGCCCAAAATTTATGTTGTTACATAAGACATTTGTTAAGTGAGCTTTGCCCCGTTTTATGACCTTTCTTGCCACACTTGTTAAGTGAATCACTGCAGTTGATGAGTTAGTAGCCTAGGTCGCAAAAGGGGATCACATGATCCTGACACACAGCATCGGTCATAAGTACGAACCAGTTGCCAAGCATCTGAATTTTGATCACATGATCATGGGGATGCTGCAAAGATTGTAACTGTGATAAACGGTCATAAAGTCACTTTTTTCAGTGCCGCCGTAACTTTGAATGGTCACTAAATGAACTGTTGTAAGTCGAGGACTACCTCTAGATTGTATCTTTGTTACCATACATCTGTATGTATATATCAATGCACTTTTCAACAGTATGGAAACTACATTTTACCACACTTGGCTGAATCCTTAATAATATTATTTGTAAAAGCTATTAAAAATGAATCCTAGTCATTCTAATACGACTAGTAAGCTGATTCTGTGATAAATATTTGGTTTAGTTCACATGGTTGATGGGTGTTACATACATGCACAGAGAGAGAGATACACACACAAAGTCACCTACAAATAAAGTAGTGGTTAAAAGTTCATGTACTTTTGCCACACATTTTTCTCAATAAAAAAATGAATAGATATAATGTTTTGCTCATTTTTTTAGTTCTCTTTATCTTGCTTTAAGACTTGTGTAGAGAACAAATCACATTTTAGGTCATATTTATACAGAAACACTGACAAATTTGTAAGCACCTCTGAAGTGTGTGTGTGCGTGTTAACAAATGTTTTGACTAAACTATCACAAATGACCAATTAAGCATCATTTATTCAAAGACAACCATTATTATATAATCATGTACCATTTCACCTTCCTCTCAGCATCCTTTAGTGAACAGATGGTGCCAAAGGAATGGATCAGAACTTCCTGGCTAATTAAGTGGGTTAAGGAAGTCTAGCCTCATTTGCCTGCAAAGAGGATAAACACAGTGGGAGGGGAGAAGACTGAAATCAACTTCCCCCTCGTCCTATTATCTATCACTCAACCTAAGTAAGCTGGTGACCACACCCAGCAGTGCTTACTTTTTGGATGGAAAAAAGAAACAAGCTCATGTCCAAAATGGAAATGATGGGCAAAGTTCAACACATCATGTCATCCCCAAAACTAACTGGAAAACAATTCTACGAAAACACTGGAATCTTTTGATACTCAAAAACAGGGCTACTAATTTTGGGGACAAATGAGTACAAAGCTAAAGTCAAAGATGTTTACTGTGCTACATACAACTAGAGTTCTGATTCTAGTGATATAACTAACATAAAGCTAGAAACAAATTTCAATGAAATATTGGTAATGGGGAGATAGATAGATAGATAGATAGATAGATAGATAGATAGATGGATGGATGGATGGATGGATGGATGGATGGATGGATGGATGGATGGATGGATGGATGGATGGATAGGGAGGGAGGGAGGGAGGGAGGGAGGGAGGGAGGGAGAGAGAGAGAGGGGGGGGGGCAGGCAGGCAGGCACCTGCATTCCACCACAACTTCAATCTCTCCTACAGGTTACTAAGGTGTGAACACTGCTCATAAAATCTTTTAAAGATGAAACTGTGGCATGTTAAAAAAAAGTGCTTCATGTGCCAATATCAACTTCCTCTTAGAAATATTGCAGTTTCTGAGGATTTCAGAGACATTGCTCCATCCATTTAAGCTTTTTGCAAATCTACGAGAACTCTTTCATCAGCAGCAATTCACTCAATAATACAAGCAGCTTTATGAAGACAGCAGTGGCTCTGGCAAATTTAAGCTCTTTTGCGAGAGCATTCTTTTCTGTGCCAGCAATAAAAATTAAAAAAAAAAGTGACAGGTTAAGATGAAAAGTAAACTCTATCACAAATTCAGGAGCAGAGTTAGCTTTCTTTTACACCAGGAATGCATACAATGTCCTGGTGATCTCCCATTCAAGTACTATCCAAGTTTGAACCTGCTTAACTTTTTGAGATCAGCTAAAGTTCACGAAGCACTGCCACATACATGTTGGGATTACACAGAGAGTCCACAGTTTTGGATATTTTTAAAAAACATGGCATAATGAGAAAATAATCACATTAAATGGTTTTGATTAAAGTTTAATTAAATTTAAATTTAATATTTTATTCTGGTTACACTCACTACAACTTTTTCTCTGACCCTATTTCTTCTTGGCAATGCAGCTCCTGGTAAGGCATTGAATAGCCCTTGGCCTAAAAAGCTACCGTATTTATCGACGTATAACACGCACTTTTTCCCCCTGAAAATAGGGGGCAAATGATGTGTGCGTGTTATACGCCGATATACGGCCAGCCCGGGTAAATTCGGCCATATTCTTCAATACGGGCCGGCCCCAGCAGTTCCCCTCTCCTCTTTGTGTGTGTGTGTGTGTTTGTCTCTCTCTCTCTCAATTCTCCCCCACCCCAAAAGCGGGGA